AAATTACAGCCCACGTCCTTGCTGGTTTCTGAGTGAAGTTTACAACTGTCCTGTGGCTTTAAAACTGAGAAGCCATGCTGTCTGGGAGCAAAATGTGGTTAGAGTTAGGATCCTACTCAGAATCCAGAGATCAGAGTACGTAGGAGTACAGCCCTCAGCACGGTGATCCAGAGCCTCATGGGCTGGGGTAGAAGCTAGGAAAAAGTATTCCAGTAGCCACAGATCACCATCATCTGCAGCTTCGAGACCATTCAAGAGCTTTTTGTAAAACACTGATTGACAATTACATAATCTTCTAGTTTTGCCTGCTCGTCATGTAGACGGTGTCTGCTCCTATGTGCATGTGTGTGTTTTTACATGTGTGAGGGCACATCACATGTGCATGTGAGGACATGCATGTACAGGTTGATGCTGATGATCGTCCTCCATCACTTTTCCCATCTTATTCGTTGAGGCAGAGATCTGTCATTTAAACAGTAGCTCAAAAGTATGACTAGTCTCTCTAGTCAGCTTGCTCTGGAGACCCTAGTCTCTGCTCTCTGAGGCTAGCATTAATGGCTGTCCTCCATGCCCACCTAGCATTTGTGTGTAGTTCTGGGGCTCTGCTCTCCAGTCTTTACACTTGTATAGTAATCAGCTTTGATCACTGGACCGTCTCCCTAGCCCCTACATAACATATTTGTGAGGGATTTGGAAATCAATGACTCTATAAATCTATCTTTAATCCTTAAAGCTTCATTTGGAGTTAGGAGATAGAATGAGACGGAGGGTCCATTGTGCAGGTGTGCTGCAAAGACTGGCTTAGCACCCAGGATGGGAGCCGGGGCATCCGAGAGCTTCTGTCCCCATCCTAGCCCTGTTGCTTAGCAACACCACGATTCTGGCCAACTCACTGAACTCTTCTTCTTAGCTCCCATTTCGTCATTTGTGCAATGGGGACACAGATAGCCAGCCTCCAGTGGGGTTATCTCAGGATTAAAGAACATGTTAGTGAAATAAATGAATATTAGTGATAGAGAATGATTTCTATAAATGACAGAAATCACTTGTTACAGTTGCCTGGTTCTTATGTAATATTTAAGAAAAACATTAACTATGTTTCATTATATTCATTAGGCAATTGAATGTTCTATGTGTAAATTATTTATTTATTTTTCCTTGCTGTGTTCTTTTGGTCTTCTGATTAGATTCATGAGCTTTAAGTAATGTCTTTCTAAAATTCCTCCTCTAGAGTCCCCCAGGTGTTTGTGTTCTCTCTCTTAACACAAACACAGGCCTCATTATTATTATTATTATTATTGAGATGGGGTCAGTCTCACTCTGTGGCACTGGCTTGTCTGAAATTATGTAGACCAGGCTGGTCTTGAACTCACAGAGATATGCCTACTTTTGCCTCCCAGGTGCTGAGATTAAAGGCCTATACCATCACACCTGTCTAAACACTTTATTTTGAACTGTTTGAGAATGAGTCACATACACAATGGCCCCTTTACTGTAGATACTTTAATGAGGTTACCATGGTTTAAATGAGTAATGTCTCCCACAAGGCTCTTTAAACACTTGGCCTCCAGCAGGTGGCGGTGTTTGAGGAGGTTTGGGGAGGTGGAGCCTTGCTGGGCAGAGATCTGTCAATCAAACAAGAGCTCAATAGTATATAAGTAGTTTTACTAGCCAGCTTGCTCTGGGGACCACAGTCTCTGCCTTCAGAAGCTGGAATTAATGGCTGTCCTCCTGCCTAACTTGCCTGGTGCCGTGCCTTCCTCTTTTCTACTATAAGCCAAAATAAACCATTTTCCTCTTAGGTTGCTTTCTGTTGGGGTATTTTATCACAACAACAAAAAGGTAACTGGTACTTGGGGTTTCCCTGGAGCTCTTGCTGTGCACAAAGAGATATTTCAATGCACAATTATCTCATCTCCAAGCTTTCTCCATATTTTGTCATTTGCCGGCTTGTGGCCATTGAAGCCAAATTATTTTTCCAGTCTGAGGTCCTAGTCTAGGATGCTCTCTGCCTGCATCCTGCCCTTAATCGATGGCTCTTTCCCAGCCTTTATCTTTCTGATACACTTGTAAAGTCCACTCGATCTGTCTAATGCCTCCTGGCTGGCTTTATCTCACACGTCTCCATTCTGGGTTCATTTTATACTTAAAAGTAGCACTATGTCCTTTTCAAGATCCAGCATCCAGTCCCTCGAGCGATAGCGTCTTTGATCACCAGGATAAGGTCGGGGGTTCCAGGGTCTGCACTGCAAAGCTGCTGTGGTTTCATTTGGACGTCATTACTTCTCCTATACCGAGACATGATAACGCTTTGTAAATAACCAGCTTCTTATACTTTTGAGTCAGGCACAGAATCCATTAATGATTCCCACCCAGGACAATTAAGGCATATAAATGGTGGCTGCCAGGTGGTAGGGGTTCTAATTTCTTAGTTCCTTTTGCATTGATGAGTCGGCATGCACCCCCAAGGACCCAGCTTCCTTCTCTGCTGTTTGTTTAATCATAGTGGTGTGGATTCAGGAACCGATTTTAGTTCGTAGGTTATAATTGGCTGTTCTGATTGTTTACCGGGATGCTAAATTGTCCCAGGTCAGCAACAGACAAACGCTTTCATGGTGTCTCCTGTGTCCCTTTTGACATTTCTGTTGTTTGAGCACGTAGTTACCTCCTGACTGCTGGAGATATTTTAGGCTCCTGCTCTCGGCTTCTCTCTGCCTATCAATTCACCATTTCTCCATGGAGCGCTGTTATCTTCTTATTTCAGACGATGGTATTTAGAGCCTAAACCCCAGCACTTGGTGTGTTTGCATCTTAGGCCTCTCAGAGAACTGAAGTGAGGAAAAGCCACATGTATACACATACACTTATAGACTCCCTACTGTATACATATAAACACACATCCAGCCCGGCACCTATGTTCACATCAGTTCCCAACTCTATTTCATGCTCGGAGTCCCCATTCCATTTATCTACCTATTCATCTATCTGTCATCCACGGTTCTTACCGCTAGAAAAGTGACTCTTAAAATGGAATGGGGATACATCCTTCAATCATTTATTAATCATGTCTCTGTTTATCCATCTGTCATTCATCTATCTATTCATCTATCTACCTACCTATTACCTATCAATCTATATATCGATCAATCTTCTATATATGAATCATCAATTATCTATCATCACCCTCATTTATCTGTCATCTATGTACTCATTGTCATCCTGTAATTTATCGATGCATTAGACTGTGTATCTATCTGTCATCTATCTATCTATCTATCTATCTATCTATCTATCTATCTATCTATCTATCATCTATCTATCATCTATGTCTCATCTATCTATCTATCTATCTATCTATCTATCTATCTATCATCAGTCTATCATCATCATCATCATCATCATCATCAACAACAACAATAACATCGTCATCCCTCTGTAGTTGACTTTGATGGTATTTGTTGGCTCCCTTGTTGCTTTTATGGAGCAGGGGATCTTCAGCTGGTTTTACTCTGCCATTTTTTCCTCACGTCCCTCTGTTCACCACGGAAGGAAATGCTTTCCTGAGAAGGCTGTACATACACTTTAGTGTAAAGTCTAAACCTTCCACAACTGGGAGATGAGGTGCATTTCTCTGGCCAGCTGCTGATACTGTATCGTAAGATACTGATGCAATGCTGAACATGGCGAGTTATTGTTCAGTAGTGCTGAGGGCTGGGACAGGTCACCTTTGGAAGTGTGGAGAGGCTGTCCATGGATAATGGGGAGGATGGTGCAGAAATCTAAGGTGCTCATGAAAGAGTCAAAATGTGGAAACATGGGTACTAAGCTGGTTGTAATGGAGCTGTAAGTCAGGGTCAGCTCTTGGAGATCTAGAGAGGAAATATTTTACACACACACACACACGTGTGCACACATACATATATACTTATATATACACATATATACATATATACACATATATATACATATATACATATATATACATATATATACATATATACATATATATACATATATATACATATATACTTATACACACACACACACATATATATATATATACACACACACACACACACACACACACACACACACACATATATATATATGGAGAGAGAGAGGGAGAGAGAGAGAGCGAGCACACTGCCATGAGAGGGGTGATGGAGGGGAGGCCAGAAGAGCAAATCCCCATAACAGAAGGGATATCAGGCTTCTAAAAGATTTCAGGGGTTGCAGGACACTTCTTAGTAGCAGGAAGCGTGGCAGAGCCAGGTTTGTAGGGACCGAGGGAAGTCCTGAGCAAATGTGAGTTGGTGGCATTGGCATAGCCATGTCAAGGAGCCTAGTGTGTCAGATTTATCGGGGCCACACCTTTCTCCAGTGAGGCTGGGGGTAGGGGGGTGGCAAAGCTCTCATCCAGTCTGAGTGCAGATGTTGACAGTGTGTGTTGAAAATATCCACCACAGCTCTCTCCCTCTGATATTTATGGTCTAAAGACGGCTCTCCTAAGGAGATTGCTACCATCAAGATGAGTTAAACTCACTTCCTCATTCAACACTATGCAATAACCTCACCGCCACACTCAATTGTATATAATAAATGCGCTGACCTTCCAGGATGCTGTGGCGTCTCCATTAGAGAGCCCGGTCTGCCCGATCTCAGCTTTTCTATCAGTGTATGTTTGTCTTTTCTTTGTTCGAGACACAGTATTTGCTAGGACAATAAATCAGGGACAGCCCAAGAATGACCACCATCTTAAAGGGGCAGCAGACCCCATGTCCTAACAGAACCGAATGTTCAGATGTGTGAAAAACTGTTGTGGATATTTTGTATTCCTAACAGGAGTCCAGGTGGCAGGTGGCTGTTGTCAGTCACCCCTCCATCATGGCTCAACCCTGTACCTGTATGCTCACCTGTGGCTCAGCACTGCACCTGTTTGTTCACCTGTGACTCAGCCCTGCTCCTGTATGCTCACCTGTGCCCTCTTCTCCCTTGTTCAGGACACAGAAGTTTTGAACACCGCCATTCTCACCGGGAAGCCCGTCTCAGTTCCTGTCAAGGTCGTGGGGGTTCAAGAAGATGGCTCTGTGGTGGATGTGTTGGAGTCTGTGGAATGCAGGTCTGCCGATGAAGATGTTGTGAAGGTACTGGGGACAGTTGATGATCATGCTCACACATGTTCACCTCTCCTCCTCCCTCCCCCCTCTCTCTGTCTCTCTCTCTCTCTCTCTGTCTTTCCTTTCATCTCCACCACATTCTGTCTGAATGTTCCTCTATTTAAAGGAAGGGGAGAATGACGTCACTGAGGAGATCCGTGAAGCCCTGGGTTAGCAGGAGGCTGCTGTTTCCTTCTCTGGTTCTTAGTCTCAAGTGGAAAGTCTGTTGTCACGGTCACCCACTCTCCCTCTTCTCCCTTCCTCTCTGCCTTTCCAACAAGCATGCTATTTCCTGTCCTCTGGCAATCTGTACATCATTTCAATTTTTACCAACGGCCTCTGCCCAGTCAGGTTATTTAGTGAGTAGATTTTCTTCACATGTCCTGTTTTCCTGGAACAGCTGTTTGCCTCAGCTGGTTGGAGTCTGCTGCCCATAAGCGCCTCCTTTCTCAAGCTTAAAAACGAATTTAGGGTCATTATAAGATAATAAAACCCACGAGCTTGATGTGTTAAAATTTTGTTAATATACATTAAAGTAAATGGCTATTAAAATAATAATAAAAAATCCTCATCACGCACCTCCTGACTTAATTTGAATACTACCAAAGGGGTGCAGCTTGTGGAGAAATCTGGACATGGAGTAATTCTGCGGGGTTCTTTCCATTGCCAACTGGTGAATATTTGCATCCAGATTCTTCCAGAATCTGCTGGGAATTTAATTGTCCTTGCTGTTTGTATGGAAACGCTAAGATTTAGTGTTTCTGTTGTTGGGTTTTTTTCCCCCTACCTTCCTTAGCACATCGGCTGCCCATTGCTTTTGCAGCAGAGATCAGAGAGAAAGGATTCCATCTCTGAGTCTCTAAGAGAGTTCCCAGTTCCAATCTGCTCAGACATTTTAGAGAAATCCAAAACACCAAGTCCGGTCCTTCACAGTCCTTCACAGAGTGTCTGCTTCTGTTCAGAGGTGAAATGGGACTTGGCCTTAGCACATTCAATCTTACATTAATTAACTTAATGTTTCAGTATATGCGTATGCCAGCAGCACACTTGGTGAGGTCGGAGGGCAGCTTTCTGAAGTCCTTTCTCTCCTTCCCACTGGGTGGATCCCTGGATTTGAACTCAGGTCATGATGCTTAGAGGCGGGTCCTTTACCGGCTGAACCACCTCAACAGCCCTTGGTGTCAGTCTTAGATACTCTCTGGTGGCTAGCAAGGGAAAGTCTGGAATAGGTTGATGCTGTCTTGTGTGGCCTGCATGGGACCATGTTTTGGTCCAAAGTATATCTGGTAAAGAAGGATGGAGCCATAAAGTCTAATTGAACAGTCGTGAAGCTGCAGGAGTCTTCAGTATGGCATAACTTGTTTCCTGGGCATGGGCCATGAATTATCCCCAAAGACAAAGGCAGACTAGTTTAAAACCTGCAGTATGGCCTCACCCCAGGACTCCTGGCAATCCTTGTGTTCTGTGGGCAAGCCAGATTAAAAAAAAAAAAAAAAACCTCAGGCTTTCCATATTAAGAGTCTAGAAAGACCTGAGTATCTGACAATGCATATATATACACACACACACACACACACACACACCACATGAGAGCTGTGTGTACATCTGAGAGTGTACATGGAACTCCATCTTATTTTTGAGACCAGTACCTGACTGAAGCAGATGCTTCCTGATTTGTCTAGACCAGCTGGCCTGAAAGCTCCAAAGAATCCTCCTGTCTCTACTTCCCCAAACTTGACTCACAAGGCCATAGCACACACCTGGTTATTTATGTTGGTGTTGGGGATCTGAACTCAGGTCCTTGTACTTACATTGTAAGTACTTTACACACTTAGCTGCGTCTCCAGCCTAGTATGTTCGTTTTCCTGTCTCCGCGTCGTTCAAGAAAAATGAAACATTGACGGAGGCTTACACAGGTGGTGTCTGAATGCCCATGTTGACATGGGCTCACACGAATGACTTGCTCTGTTTCTCCTGAGCCTTTGAGTCTCTCCCAGGAGCCTGGTGGAGCCCTGCAGGATGAAATCCTTGTTCATTGCTCTGGAGAAGTCTCCTACAGAAAACTGTGACCAAATTCCCGTATCCTGTTGCTGTTACCTCTGTACTGTTCCCATTGTACAGAAACAAGCTCACTCCCTGCCCTTCCTGAAGGATATATTTTGGAAGGTGACAGTTATTTTTGTTGTTGTTGTTGTTTTTTCCCCATGGGATTCTCATGAAGAAGGCTCCACTCTTCAGAGGAGCCAAATGGAGTGAGTTGTCAGATCACCAAGCCCAGGGCTGCATTCAGACAGGCTTTGCTGGCAACCCTGGGATTTAATTAAGTGGCTCTGATGCATTTGCTATGGCTTCCCTGTCTGTGTTTGTAATACACTTTGCTGCAGCCTGAGGATGGATGGAGTTGTCGAAGGGGCTGTGTGCCGGCCACAGGGTCACCCCAGGGGTGGCTGTGACACCGGCAGAGTCATTAGCACACTCTGGCTCGATCTGTGTATCTGTCTTTGAGCCATTTCTACACATCAGGTCTGGGACTTAGAGGAAGGAACAAGTCAAGTGTGGAGTCTGGAGGAATGGGACTCGTTGGAGACAAACAGGCTCACTTCTGTGACCTTGTGACTTTCACGGAACAGAGTCTGGGGGTATAAATAGCTGGAAAAGGGCCAGACGTCCTCCTCATCTGGTGAGAGTGGAGAAGCTAACAGAAACTGAAGAAAGCAGGAGACAGCCTCATATTTGTAACTTGTGTGAGTGTCTATGTGTGTCTGTGTGTGTTATTGTGTGTATATATTAATGTGTGCCTATGTGTATTTGTGTATGTCTATCTAATATGTGTCTGTGTGTCTATGTGTATGTCTTTTCCTCTATGTCTGTCTACATGTGTGTCTCTCTCTGTGTGTGTATGTGTATGACTCTGTGTGTGTGTGTGTGTGTGTGTCTGTGAGATGCCTTGACCTTTATTATTAGTGATAAGATTCAACAGGTAGTCCAGCAGCCAGGCTTGCTGTTCATAGGCACGTGACAATACATCTGTGGTTCACTATAGAGCAACAGAGAGGCAGCCCTTGGGCCATGTGTGGCCTAGGGAGGTATATGGGTATGAGTGTGTGAATGTATGTATGTGTGTGTGTATGCATGCATGTAGAGGCCATAGGTTAACACTGGATGCTTTTCTCAATTGCTTTCTGTCATGTTTAGGACATAACCTCTCTTTGAACCCTGGACTCACCAATTCAGCTAAGCTGGCCACTTATCTTTGACTCTGCAACACTGGGTTATAGGTGCATGCCTGTAGTGCTCTGGTTTTTACATGGATTTCAAGAGTTCAAACTCATGTCTGCATGCTTGGGTGACAAGCACTTTACTGACTAAGCCATCTCTGCAGTCTAAGACAGATTATTATTATTTTTTTTTTTAAAAAAAATGAGCTGTAAGCAAATGTTCTGGAGCAGGGAAAGGGACCGTATAGCTTTAAAGGGGATGTTGGAGGAACCTGGAGAAGTGAGATTCGAGGATGGCTGTCTTTGATTTCTCTCTTTCATGTCTTCTGGTAGAAGTCTTCAGAGGGCCACTGAATGATCCCAAGCAGGGACAACTGACCCGCTACTGTTAAATCTGTTGGTGCTAAAGTCCCAGTGGTGAATTTGGGGACTGATTACATAAAACTGTACAACCAAAGGAAACTCCCAGTATTTGGTCTATGCAAGTAGTATATTGCTTTTGAAGCCAGAGGCTCATTGTAGATGTTCAAGGCAGAGGGTCATTCCTTGGCTCTTGCGCTGGAGGTCTCGCTCCTGAGCTCTGGTCATCAGGACCCTTGGCTCCTTGGCAATGCTCTCAGTCTCTTCTCATGACTGCGACTTGGGGTCCTCATTTCCTCAGTGACCACCTTTGGCTCTTCACAGCCTTCGTCTTCTATAGTCTCAGTTTTTCCACTTTATCAATACTCTAACCATCTTTTATAGTTTTGGCTTCTTCCAGACTGCCTTTATACACTCTCTGGAACTCTGCTGCTCTTTCATGGAGTTATACCTCTTAGCTTTGTGTTTTGGGTCCTCAGCTTCAAGGATATTCAGAATTCTTTATCTGGCTCTTTGCTGCTGCTGCTGTAATTGTGGCTGTGGCCAGATGCTCTAGTTGTTTGTCTATTCTTTCTACAACCATTTCCATCCCACTGTACCTGAGATAGAGACCACATCGGGGCAGAAGAACAGTGGAGAGGAGGACCCTTTGGCATCCTGATAGTGCCACACCAGGAGAGAGAGGTGCATGAGAGAGATGCTTCCCAAACTAGCAGGTATCATCCTGCTCCTGTGACCAGATGAGAGGTAGGTATGTCTGTGTGAATTGTCGGCACAGCCCGGCAGATGCTCAGATTCTAACTCCATTTGTCAGAAGACCTCCCTAAGGACCAGTCACAAGCTTTGCATTACATCAGTGAGACTTGTTGCTGAGATTCTAGGGAGACATGTCTCCTTCTGTCCTGGGCGAGGGTAACTCCAGGGAACTGGGTCATCTATGGTACATTGTGGCTTGGCTCTCTCAGAGTAGAGTCTTCCAAAGCTTGTACTAGCTGCTTGGAGGTTTTGTGGCTGAGACAGGAACAGTGACTGTGGTAGCAGCTATGGCTGGACTGGTCTCTGCAACAGGGCTCAGGCTCCCCAGTGGTGGTGAAATGTTGGGAGAAGGGGCAGATTGGCTGACAGAAAGCTCCCACTCTAAGCACAAGGGAGGTATCCTATCAGCTGCTATTTAAGGGGCTAAGTGGCTTTCTCCTTGCTGCTTAGGGTATTAAAACCAAACCAAACCAAACCAAACAAAACACCAACCCCTGGAGGTGCTGATAAGGAATTAGCATTCTCAGGAGTTTAATAACCCTAAACCCATAGCCACACCTGAAGGGGAGTTAGAGTCCTCACATCTATCTCTATGGTATCTGTAACAATTAACAGCTTAAAACACACATTTGTTATCTAATTCTGTAAGCTGTA